TTCCTTCCTTCCTTCCTTCCTTCCTTCCTTCCTTCCTTCCTTCCTTCCTTCCTTTTTAATGTTTATTCCCAAGCTCATGAGCTTTCCACTAAAAACCATCAATTAATTCATCATGTGATACAAAGAGCCTGGATTCAGTATGACAGATGCTTTGACAGTGCCCAACCCAGTTGTTATAGGCAAGAATATGATCTGAAATGAACAATTTTATAAGGCAGAACACCTGAGAGGTAAGCATAGGTAACTGACAACAAGAGAAGTGTTATGTAGTTAATAGTTTCAAAAACAGTCATGCTCCTAACTTGGTCTCCCAGACACTGAAATCTGAAACTCTGTGATATGTTATAGCAAGGCTTCAAACAAAGAGGTTTTGTTCAGTTCATGTTTTTGTGGGAGGGTGTAACTATGCAGTCCCTATCAGTCAACAAATGCTGCACAGAGCTGACCAATGACTCATGAAGTCTATGGTGAGACCTCCCTCCTCAGTTTCAAAATACACACTTCGAACAGCATTAGTGAAAGAGCCAACAGCTTGTCACCGTCTTTTCACTACCTTGGCCTGGTCCTAACCAAATTAGGTTTTTAATTTTACCTTGGAATTTTCCTCTTTATTTAAAAATTTTTATATGTATTGTGGTAAAAAAAAAAAAAGTCACTTAAGAAAAGATCATTTATTATAGATTTATACATTTCTCTCTTTTAAAACACTTTTTGATTATACGGCAAAATTTCCCTCAAGAGACTTAGAAGTTCGATTTTGAAAACAAAAATCTATGTAGAGTAAAAGTAACTCTTTTTCTTCTCTCTTCATCTTCTCAAAGGAAAACAGACCTTTACAGAAGATCATGTTGGCATTGGTTACATTTTTTTTGGGGGGGGAGGCATTTGGGGCTTTCTATCTTTGTCTTTAAATACAAGAGTTTGTGTTAATGCTACAGTCATTTCCTTTTTGTATTCTGAGCTTCCAATATCAAACTAACTTCGTTTTCACATAATTATAAGAAAGAAAATCTTTTGTTTTCCTGTAGACCATATATTGAAAGGCAAATATGGTATACTTAGTTCTAAAACCAGCAAATGACATACTGATGATGTTAGAAAAGATACTCACCATTGTCAATACATGATACATAATTTGAACAACCGTTTCACGCGGCAGCTTCTCTCACTATTGTAGAAACCTAGTAAGAATAAATTCCACACTACCCTGTACAGCTTAAAATTTAACGCCTGAATTCTGACCTTCATATTAAATAGAAATGTAGGCTGTTGAATCTCTGCAAAGAATTTTTTTTTTTTTTTTTTGTCCATGAAATGCCTATGTCTGTGGTCAAGTGGCAGGTGCAGGCAATTCATCAGGCCGCCCGCTTCTTTCCTATTATGGCTTTGCCCCTGGAGCCAAGGCTCCTGAGGTCCTAAGCATGGTTGCTTATTGCAAGGGTGCACTATTCCTCCTCCCCAGGCTGCCCTGTAGCACAGGGCGGAAGGCCACGAAGGCGAGGGTCACCCCTGGCGTGGGGAGGGGTGTTCGTGTGAAAAGGAAGATGCTCTGAAATCCACGCGCCCCCCCGCCCCGACCCCCGAGGGCGCTGGCCTGGAGGGAGGCTGAGCGCAGAGGCTCGGGAGAAAAGAAGGCGAGGAGAGCTTGGGGGCGTGGAGGCACCTCGCAGGGGTATCGAGACGGGTCCCGCTTTCGTGGGGACATTTCAGCGGCGGCCTGGCCCGCGGGCGTCCGGGACAGAGCGCGCGGGGTGGGGCAGCCCCGAGGCAGGCGGGCAGGGGCAGGTCCGCCGCGCCCCCCGGCCCGCCACTTCCCGCGCTCCGCCCCCCAGGGGTCGCCATGGCAACGGACGCCGGGTTCTGGACTCCCAACTCCCCCGAGCCGGCAGCTGCGCGGGAGGCGCCCGGCCCCAGGGGCCAGCCCCCGGCTCCGATGGAGAGCGAGGACGACACGTCCAAGACCGAGGAGTGCCGGAAGATCCTCGAGAACCTCGAGTCGACTATCGAACAATTCCGGTTCAGCCCCAGGTGACCCGCGCGAGCCGCCGCGCCCCGCGCAGCGCCACCTCCCCTTCCTTCGGGCCACGCGCCCCTTTCCCGCGCCTCCCGCCCGCGCTCCAGGCCCCAGGCCGGCTGATTTGATTTCTTAAGTGTATTCACATAAACTGAGAACACGGACTCTGGAGCCAGAGTGCCTGGGTTCAAATCCTTCGACCCTCTACAGGGCCCCTGAGTTGGGCGAGTTCCTTAAAAACTTCTGTCGCATTTACCTCGTGGGGAAACCGCCGTGACGGCGGTGGACGGTGCTCCTTCGTAGCTGAGAGTGAACATGAAAGGAGTGCATGTGCGTACTGTTTAGACGAGCGCCGTACATATATACACAGAGTACCCTGGAGGTGTTTGCCAACGTCATTGTTAACCCTTGATCCTTTCTTTACATTTCCTCCCTTTCATCATCCTTTGCCCCCCTCTGCCCGTATTGTGTCTGTTCGGATAATATAGAGCTGAGGTGTGTGGGAAAATGTGTTTTTCCTTCCAAAAACCCTTTAAAATCAGTAAGTGGCCAGCACTGGGTTAGCTACTGTGCAAGCACTTAGAATTCCCTAAAGCAAGGGCTTCATGGTGCCTGGTAGGCTGGCTTGGAGAGGCAAGCCCGGCACACTGAGGCTCCAGAGTGAGAAAGGACCAGCACGGTACTTGCCGCATGGCGGGGACTGACCCAGTGAGACAATGCTGCCAGCTCAGCGTAAGTGGGTGCATTTGTGAAAATAGATCAGGGTAGACACAGGCCCTGGTTTATTGGTGGTTGTGGAAAGCACATATTGGCAATGGCCCATAATAACACCATGGGCACAGTGTCTAACCTGTTCTGCTTGTTTACTGATAGGAATGACTTCCTGCCTTGGATTCCTTGGCATTGCCTGGTGTGGAACTCTCCAGCAGAACACACTGGCTGCGCTCAGTGGACAGAATGACAGTGCCAGGTGCTCAGTTAATGCACGGTGCCTGAACAAAGGAACCACTGATGCCAATGTTAATTTCTCTCGCTCCCCCAACCCCCAGCGCTAAGGGGGCTGTGTTGGTGCTCTGGGAGGAATGGGAGAGGCTGGAGTACGGATGCAGTTCTGGATTTCGGGCAGAGTTTGGCACTGGGCAAGCAGCAATCTACAAACCGACTGAAGGCCCGCCTTTGTCAAGTTTACATTCTAGTCAGGAAACCAATGATAAGCAAGCAAACTATGTAATAAAGAAGTTAGTGGTACGTGCTAAGGAAGGAACAGCAGGGAGGGAGCAGAGGAACTGGTGTGTGGTCGAGGAAGGCTTCTCAGAGATGACGTTGGGGTGAAGACCTGTAGGCTTGATGGAGGAACCATTCAGATCTATCAGGGAACAAAGTGTTCCCCCGAAAGAACAGGAAGCAGGAAGGGGTGGGCCTGTGTGTCTCAGACTCAGCAAGTAGCCCTGTGTGGCTGGAGCAGAGGGAGAAGGGGAGAGCAGCGGAGAGGTCAGAGGTAAGGGGACATTGCCAGATAGTGGCACTGACTAGGTGTCCTACAGTTTAACTCAATTCTCTGCTACCTAGAGACAGTGTCAGATCACACAGGTGAAGGGTCCAGTCCCGCAAGACTGCCCCCTCCTCCTTCAGATGCCAATCGCAAATCCAGGTTTTTAGACCTGTGCTTCTCACCGTTCAGCCTGAAGTTAGAGGTTCCTATAACCCCTGCCATGGGTTCAATTAATTTGCTAGAGCCACTCATAGAACTCAGAAAACCAATTTACCTACGGGGTGACTGGTTTATTACAAAGAATATTGAAGGATACAAATGAATGGCCAGATAAAGAGATTCTTAGAGTGAGGTCTTGAAGGATCTGGAGCACAGAAGCTTCTGTCCCCATGGAATTTGGAGTGTGCCACCCTCCTGGCACCTGGATATGTTCTGCTTCACCCACCCAGAAGCTTGCTGAAACTTGTAGTGCAGAGGTTTTTTTTATGGAGGCTTCATTACATAGGCCAAATTGATGAAACCATTGGCTTTTGGTGATTGGGTCTACCTCCTGCCCCTCCAGAGGAGGATGTCGGAGTGGGACTGACAGGTCCCAGCCTCCATCCTTAGGGGCTTTCCAAAAGTGCCCCCATTAACATCGACTCAGATGTGGTTCAAAGGAGTTTGTTATGAATTACAAAAGACCCCCACAGTTCACCTTTTTTCCACACTGAGACTATCTCAGAAACTGAGGACAAAATACCAAATATAACAAAAGATGATCCCATTGCTCAAATCACTTAGGAAATTCCAAGGATCTTGGGAGTTTTGAGGCAGGAACTGTGGATGAAGACCAAAATATATATTTCTTATTATAAATCACACTGTCAAAATGGGAAGCCGTGAGGGGGGATTGGTGCAGAGGAATGATTTGGTATGATTAATCTTTCAACAGGATTACTCTGGCTGCTGTTTTGATAATAAATTATAATGGAGATAAGGACAGAAACAGGGAAACCAGCTAGGAGATGGGGGGAAATAATTTTTCCCCTACCCTTGTAGGTTCTTGGATGAGACCAACCCCATGATAAAAGACAGACTAATAGCGGAGGAACAAAACAGAAATTTAATAGCATGTATGCCTCTTGTATACATGGCAGATACCCAGGAAAACTGAGTAACTCCCCAAAATGGCCCAAGCCACCACCTTAAATACCATCACCTAAAGACAAAGGATGGGGATTGGATGGGGGGAGGGGAGTGAGTTATGGAAAGTTGCCAGGAAAAGCACAGTAAGCAAAAGTATGGCTGTTACACAGTTTGGTGCCTTCTTTATTGATAATATTCTCCTGTGATTTACTCATCCTTTTCTTCCTGGTATAGAGAGGGAGACACTTACAAAAGGAGATATCCTTTATAAATATAAATTTCTCCTGCAAAAGAGTAACTTCTACTTTGTTTTCAGAGCTTCTCCTGTGTCTGCGGTTCTCAAAATAATTAGCTCAAAATAATCCTGTGCCAAAGAGGCATGTTTTGGGGTGCCATATTCTGCTACCCTTCAAATGGAGGATGTTCACAAGAGAGGTCCAGGCTGGCTGTATCCATTTGGGAGTAATTAGCACAAAGATGGATGTAGGGGTGGAGGACCTGAAGAGGAAAAGAGGGAAGCAATGTTTTATTTAAAATTGAACAGTACACCGTAGTGAAAGTTTAGCACACCTAACACCATTTTCTTTGACTAATTCGTTAATAAGCAGTTGTTATGATAAACTATTCTAGGATCCAGTGAGAAGTGTCACTGCATTCTATTAATAAATATTCATGGATCTATTTTCTATACTAAATTTACATGTTAATTTTGTATCTAGTTTGTTCAAAAAACATAATTGTCATCTTTCCAAGACTGTATTTTATGCATAACAACTAAGCCATTATTCAGAAATCGAATTGCTAAGACTATAAATAAGGCCTGTGTAGGAACCACTTAGCTAATTTGTTGTGATGTGGTTTCCATTCTAGGCAAGGAGGTTGCCATTTAAAATCAGAGACATTTGGAATTTGACGGAAAACTGAAGAATGAACCTTCGTGTTTCACTTAGATTCTGAATGAGCCAGATCTTTCTGAGTCAGTTATACAAAAATTTAAGACTCAAGTGACCTTAGAGCCCTGAGTCTATTCTCCCGAGGGATGGAGAATTGGGATCTGTCCCTTCAGGCTTATGATTTTAGAAGAATTCTTTCCTCTCTTCAAACCCCGGTTTCTGTATCTTTGAAACAAGAAAGTCAGTCTCATAATTTTATGAGATTATTGGGAGGAAGACCTGAAGGGAAAATGCGTGTTAGTGCATACATCTTAACGAACCACATGGCACAAGTTAAGCACTCAATAAATAGTGCTTAATATAATTTTTAAACACTCTGTAGGAGGTATCTATAAAATTTTTGGACTTGATTTTAAAGCATTGTATTGTAGTGTTATAGTATTATGATACCAGAAGGAATAACTGACAACATTCCAAGTTTTTAAGTCATATCCGGAAAATATATGTATTTGGGGTGGTTTTTTTTTTTTTTACACTTTTAACTTTTTTTTTCAGCTTTAATTGACATGTAACATATATTCATAATAGCTACCCACATTCCATAAACCTACTGCCCACAATAGATTTTTTTGCTTAAAATGGAAAAGAAAACATACATGTTCAAGCTTAATGTAAAATGAAGCTGAATAGTTAAAAGGAGCTGCTTGGCCCTGAGGAGGGTAAAGGATTGTATTTCTAGACAGGGAGGATGAAGCATGAGGTCTGTTAAATGTACAGTGTTATAGAATATAAAGAAACAGGTTAAGTGACCATTTGTATTTATTATGATGATCTAGCACTCAAGATCTAGACAGGAGTCAGAAACCTCGCCAGTATTTAAATGGGGGAATATTATCTGTTCCTTATTAAATATTAAGGAGTATTTTTTTTAAAAAAAAGCATTTTTAACTAGTAAAAGGCAGTAGAAGTGGTAAAAGAAGACTCTAAGCAGTCTTGTAATAGCAAACGCAAAATGGTGCTGCGATCCTCTCCCAAAGGCAGAGGAAGAGTAAACACGAAAGGAAGTAAGAACTCAGAAGACCCTCACTCCCCCTCACTCCCACTCTCACTCCCACCACCATCCAAGGCAGAGATTAAGACCTCTTGGGAGAGGACGTGGCTGGTGGCAAAGAAACTTGTCAGAGGGTGCTGGCCAGAGCTGATCCATGGGGATGACTTGTCGCGCGGCTGGCTGGAAGATGCGGACCGACTGAGGTTCTTCACCCTGCTGGGAGATCCAAATCTTCATTCCTGAAAGGTTCTGAGTTCCCTAAAAATAACTTTCCTGGGGCACCTGGCTGGCTTATTCGGTGGAGCATGCGACGGTTGATCTTGGGATTGTGAGTTAGAGCCCCATATTGGGTGCAGAGATTACTTAAAAATAAAATATTTATTTATAAATAAATAAATAAATAATAAATAAATAAAAAATAATAAATAAATAAATAAAAACTTTCCCTCT